TGATTTCATGACGACTCCATCCCATTAGAATGTTTTGTATTCATGCAAAATTTTTTTTACTTTTTGAGACATTTCAGTCATTCTCTATTTCTTCTTATGTTTTCTTAAGCATGCAAAAACCAACATTAAGCAAAATTAAGCTATTGAAATAAAATTGGGTAGGTGTTTCTTGGAATTTAATATGCGTAAGATGATTGCATAATATGAATCAATCACTGTTTCATTTTTATGGCTTCTCCTTCTTTTGATAGCGTACTCCTTTACTAGCTTCATTAATTGCAAAGATGAATCCTTTTCAAGACACTCTGGCTCGATGCCATACTTAAAAGAAATAGAAATCAACCCTTGTTCGCGATCTAGGTTTATATATCGTTAAGTCGTCAATACCTCTATCTTGATTGCCCGTTTTTGATGTTATTCTTTACATATATATATTCATATATGGAAATGTGCATGGACTCCTACAGTGGATCACGAAGAACGTGACAACATAAGCAGCGCTATGCAATGATACTATTAATCCATATGGCCTTGGAGAGATTTTAGAAGAAATTGTGCAAGATAATTTTCACTCGGAAAGTATGTAAAATGTACAGATCATATGTAGATAGATTCTTGATATCTTCTAATCAGAGTTCTGCGAATTTCAGCGCAATAACTGTAAATTTTCGCTTTGGATTCACTGGCTATCTTAGGAAGACTTCGCTACTACAGGCATAGATCCAGCTATAAGATCCATAATTTCATCTAGCGCTTATTTATTGTCAGTGGATCAGTGGCTTTTTCAATAGACTAAAGATATTTGAAAACTGGCACTTCTTCAATCGATGAATTTAAGAAAAATGAATTGACGCATTTGTGAATCCAGGCATTTTACCAATGTATATAAAATGAATTTTCTTTACACTGATCCATTGCCTAAGCTGAAATTAAAAATTGTCTCGGTCCAATAAAATCTAACTTCTTCAGGCGATGACAACAGCATTTGCACAATGTTTCGTCGATAGCCATAAGTGCTCGGTCACATCGATTAAAAAATTTACTACATAACGACCATCATGAGAGCAACTGATGCGATCGTCCATTTGTTCTAATCTTTCATATAATTCATTCAGTTTTTACAAATTCGATATAAAATACTTATTTTTTGAATATTCTTTGCTACTTAATTTGAATTAAGCTTTTTAGTTCTTTATTAACTATACTGCGTGGGATGAAATAATGATGATGATATAAGAGCTTCTAGCATATTAACATGTCACTACGCATTAGTGTTTTAATTACTTACATAGCTCGTATCTCTTTGGTGGTATCTTAGAAACAACAGTCGCTGCTCATTCACGAATTCTCACCTTAAGTTATACACACGGCTATTTTGCTTCCAATTTATTGTACTTAACTGATTCATTGGTATATTCGAGCATTTTTAAAAGAGAAAAAATAAAAAAATTTTTTTAATTTTATATAAATCATAACTTTATAATTAATATGATTTATTCACTTTCATATCATTTTAATTTAATTTAATTTTAATATTCATTTTTAAAGCCTTTTAATAATTTTTAATTTAAACATCGAAGAAAAAGATATTAACAAAAAAAACAATCATATGGAATTTGATGGTTTTGGCACTTTTCTAATGTCAAATAGTGATCCAAAAGCAAATCGCACTTTTAAAGTAAATTATCATTTCTTTCTTTGAGTGTGTAAGATGTGTAGATACATAATAATTATATTAATAATAATAACAAAATAATAATGACAATTGTAATATTAGTAGTATTAATAATAAAAATAATAATAAAAATTATAACAATATTGATAAAGCAAGAATAAAAATTTTGCAGTGTTAAATGATCATATTTATGATCTTCATTTATCATATAATATTTATGATAATAATAACAGTGGCCAACATTGGTCACTTTGGTAGTACTTCTTAGCACTGGTAAAGACTAGTGCCATTTTCGATTCGAATATTATGCAAAAAACATTGCATACAATTTCCTATGGAAACAAGATGATCTAGCGGAATGTTTCGACTAAGTCCAAGCATCTGAGAATTCGCTAAGTGCTGCTTAGAAAACCGAGTAATACTGAAGGCTTATTAATATTTTTTTACTGAATTATTAATTTTTCCACCAAATTACTCTACCGAAAGGTGCTCATCATAGTAGTAAGTACAGTTAGCCAAAAGTGTTTATTGTTTTAGAAGCAAAAAAAATTCAACTTCTGGTGATGTGAGCACTAAATTTAATGGTTAAATAAGTATACTTGAGGAACACATATATTATCCTATTTCTGATTTATCGATTAAAACTTTAAAATATTTCTTTTTATTTGAATGTGGTTATCATTCCAAGCAACTACGATGAATTATAAAATTTTTATAAAGGCCAGATGTAGTGATATTATATTTCATTAGTGATCTAAAACTGCGGTATCAGTTCAACTGTGCAGCAAAAAATACGTAAGATAGTTTCTTAACAAGTTTTTTTATTATATAACCTTCTTAATTTTACTTGATCGACTTCTTGATGCATAAATGAATAAATGGATAAAATGCTGATTAAAAAATTTGTTGAACATATTTTGTTCTGTTATTGTTTAATCGGAGATAGCGCAATTTTAAATTTTATTCAATTTGCACTTAATTTAATATTCTCGATAATTGATATTTGTGTGCTGCAAAATAATAAAAATTTTTCTAATTTACTATTATTTTTAAAAAATTCAACAAAAATTTTGCCATAAGTATGTATGTTAAGCATGCATTACAAATTTCAAGCAAATTTCACTAACATTTTCATCATAATGGCTGATTCGCCATCACATCATCAAATCCTTCAGGCTAAATTAGTTTTGCATTGGAATAACAAAGGAAACAACTCAATGATCAAAGCTGTTGAGCCACTCGGCTACCTTGCTTCCTTGAGACTTCGGCGGTTAACTCGCAATAATCAAGTTCAAATTAAAAAACACTTATAGCGAAATTAATTGCTTATTATCATACGCGTATTCACATAAATCGATTGTTGCAAGCGTTCTCGAGGATTTCTAAAGCCTTTTCTGCATTGATTAAATCCACGAATATTCCAGCAAGTAAAATTCTAAATTTTTCTTCTTACCGATAAATTATTTGAGTACTAGCGATAGAAAAAAAACTTATTTTTAACTTGATTGATCTCCATTAATAAACGTTTGACAGGTGTTTCACTCAAACTTCATTTCCATTATGTTTCCATTCATGAGCCAATGTTTATTGATCAAACGAATTTATAGAGGCATCATTTATAATCCGTAATGTTTCCAGAAATAAAAATTTTATATGGATGCAATTAATCTTACATAAAGTTACACCTCCACACTTCTCATAAAGCGACTTCGATCGAAAATCCCAAAGAGATTTGACCAGCATCTTTCATCAAAAATTATGCGTGAAAGGAGCAAATAAGTCATTGCCACCTTAAGTTTGGAAACTTTACTTTCTATTCACTAAATTTTGCAAATTATTGTAAAATTATAGCAGAGATTTCGTGATCGTGATCCAGTGGGTTACAATTAAAATACTGGTTGAGAAATCCTAAATTTGCTTAGATTTATTGAGTATTATAAAACGAATGCAGCGAATATCTTGTAACCAGGACTTATTAAGCTGATTCTGGCGACTACTTTCCATAATTTATATTTATTGATCTGTATAATCTCATTTTTAGTGTTCGCAAAATTGAATTCTCGAACTAAATTAAAATATTGGATTGTAGGATTATAACCTATTGTTTTGGAATAATTCCTTATACAAAAACTCAATATGTGTGTAAATAATAAATATTTATATTCATTATCGTTCTCATTCTAACAAATGAGACTGGTTTTTTTTACACATGTTGGATTTCGTTCTTCACGCCAATAAATTTAATATTCAAATATCAACGTACTCTTCATGAATTAATTTAACCTGTTGTTCAATGATTTGTAATTTGTTAGACTTCAATTTTTTAAATATATATTTCATAAATTTTGCTATATTTTTTTTTTTTTATATTTATATTTTTATTCATTTTATTTATATTATTTATTCTTATACGAAATTTTATCGTTCTTATACATTTTAGTATTTTTTTCGGCGCAGCAGCGAAGAATAGGATATAAATATTTTATCATTTCACCTCCCACTAAATCTGTCATCTCTTATGATTTGAAAGTAAAATATGAATTATTTATGATGTTGCCTCGATAAGAATATTTTTTGATAAAAATTATTTTTAGCATTTTAACCTGCTTAAATCCTTGGGGATTAAAGTGATCACTGAGCAAATGAATAACTAATCGCTTCAATGGTCTAAACCATAACTGCATACTGGAATATCATTCCTAGTAGATAGATAGTATCACTTCTTCGGCACTTTTCCCAAAAAATTCTTTTCATGGTGTACTGGTATTATGTATATATATTTATATAATTACCACAAATTCAACGCTGATTTCCTTATGAACTTCTTTCGTTCAATAGTGCTTTCTAATTTAATTTTTATTTAAATCAAATGCCAAATTTTTTCATTTTCATTCATTTTTTTCTGTGATCTATATTTCCGGTTTTCCATGCTTTTATATGAAGTGGCTGGTGGTCGTCATTTCTAGATAAGCCAGCTTGCTGTTAGGACAGCTAAAAATTTTTTTGCCAGTAGAATTACAAATAGCCCACCAGTACAGGTTTTTTATCGCTGTTGGAGAACAAGGGGTCATGTTTGCTAACAAATTTTTCTCTTGCAAATATTGCAGTTTAGTATCAATCGGGTTTGTTCTTAACAGAACATTCGCTCATTATTTCACCAGAAATAATGGTGTAAATTCGCGAATATTCTTTTCATAATACTTCATACTCTGTTTTCTTGAATATTCATTGTTTTTTCGCTATTTCTTGTCCATTCGCCAAAAAATTAATGCTGTTCGAAATTCTCATTTTAGAAACAATTTAATGGATATGTAGTAAATTAGCTATGACAATCTTTAGTGGTACAGCTCATATAAGAATAGTTGAAGCTCGCGATCTTCGCCCCACTGAATGGTCAAAAAGGTTTGTTATTAAGAAACAACTGTTAATTTTTTGCACTTATGCAAAATAATTTAGAATTTAAGAACGAATACACTAGAAAAAAATCAATCATTGATTCAAAGTGATAATGCTTTATAGATTCAATAATGCGAGTGATTCTGAAAAGGTATTGTTGGACACTTATGTAAATGTAGACTGCGATGAATATCACATTGGGCAGACTGTAACTCGACCAAAAACGACTACACCTGTATGGAATGAAGATTATCAGGTTGATTATACTGTGTAAGATTAGCACTGTGCTAGTCAATGAAGCTTAAACCCTATCTTGATAGCGATTTTAATATTGTTACTTTGGTTTTCTACTCTATTTCTTATTTCCATGCAATCAACGAATAAAGCATAAATTGAATATCTCTATTCATCTTTATCTTTACCTAAAGAAAAGTGCGTCGGTAGCTTAGGGCAAGGTGAATGCCACCGAGAATCGAGATTATCTTGCGTTCGAATCCGATTGGTGCACTTCGAACAGAAATGCCGTTGAAGGCCGGAAAAAAAGGTAGCAGAATGACTTAGTAGATTTAAGGTCGGAGCATTAATGTTAAGGTTCTATGTGCCGCAGAATTAAAATGAAAAATTTGAATAATCTTGGCAATCAATTCATTTGCACTTCTTTAAAATGACTTCCTGGCAAAATTTGCCTGATTTGGCAAACCAGTAGCGCAAATTTGAACACCAGTGACGAAAATTCTTTTTAAAAAAAAGTATGGCGAAATTATTAAATTTGTATGGCGAAATTAGGGACATATGACATCCTAAAAAAATCTTTTATATCTATTGTATACGACGACATTACATTAGCAAATTTGGTCTAATTCTTTTTCCACTATTTTAAATTTTTTTCCAGCAAATTATATTAGCATTATTAATTGTTTATGCTTTAAGACTGATGTTCATAATGGTCGGGTACTTGGTTTCACTGTCTTTCACGACTGTGCTCTACCCCCCGATGATTTTGTTGCCAACTGTCGTCTTCTTTTTGAAGATCTCAAGATTGGTATCAGCAACGATATATGGGTGAGATGACATTCAGAGATTTTTATTTAAAGGCTTTATATATATATTATTGGTCTGCATAAATTTTTTGCTCATTTTTCCAAATTTTCTCGTTGGTTATCCAAATTTTTGCAAATTTATTGTAAGGGCTTTAGATAGATTTGGAACCACATGGACAGCTTCATGTACTTATCAAACTCCATGGTGCCTCATCTGAAGGTGAAATTTTGATATTTCCTTTTTTTCTATTCCAAATCTATCAATTTTATTATTTCAAAGTTATTGCTGATGTTTGACAAGTAATAATTCGTGCTATTTTAGAACCCTTAGAGAATGCTGGTAAGGAGAGAGTCTTTAAAGAGCGTACCAATGCCTTCAATGATCGCCAACGACGTGGCGCCATGCGCAGAAAAATTCATGAGGTTTTCCTAGTATTTATATAGCTTATTACCTTTCACCAACTTTCTTTTAATAATTAATTAAGGTGCGAATCATACACATGTAAAACGCTAACAAAATCTTAGTGTCTGAACGAATTTTCATAACTGTTTAGCATATTGGGTTGATGCATATTTACTTGTCTCTTGCTTAACCTTCACCTTTATTTTGATATCTTTAATGATCAAATGCCTGCTAAACTTTGATACTTCCATATTACTGGAGTTTGTTAAGAGGACAATATAATAATACATTAATGAAAGAAATTTTCGCGAAGTTCTGGTAAAATAAGAATCCTGTAAATTTCAGCTGAAAAGTTCAGTTTTTACTCATTTATGAAATTGTCGAATCAGGCAGATTTTGTCAAGAAATCGATTCATTTGATTTATTTATTTGATTTATGTTTCAGGTCACTGGTCATAAGTTTATGGCACTATTTTTGAGACAACCAACCTTTTGCGCACATTGCAAAGACTTCATTTGGGGTCTAGGCAAGCAGGGTTATCAGTGTCAAAGTAAGCCTACAATTATTTGTTTTCAACAATAATATACAAGACTTGTAAATTTATCCTTTAAAAGTGGAATCGTTCAAATTAGTGGTTTAATAACCTGGAAATTTCGTCACATGTATCTATCGCGTCTTTTCAGCGAGAAATTTGCTATCTTATTCTAATCTACTGCTACTGAAAGATGATTTATCTGATTCATCTAGTTCTTAAAATTTGAATTCTAAATAAGCTTATAGTTTGTTTCCGACAAATTTTTATTCTTGCTTTTGCAGTCTGCACAGTAGTTGTGCATAAACGATGCCACGAAAATGTAGTCTGGAAATGTCCTGGAAGTAAAACGAACGCGATGGATGAATTGCAGTCCGAAGCTGCTGAAGTTATTTTTCGATCTTATTTTTTTTATCATTTTAATAGAGCAAAGAAAATTTGCATTTAATGTTTTGTCAAGACTATTTCCGATTGATCTGCCTTATTTTTGCACAATTTACTCATCTTCAACGATTTGAAAGTAAAGGCGATATTGCAATATTGTAACTGAAATATCTGTTGTAGCTTCCACTTCGCTAGATATTTTTCATTTTATCGAAGCTTTTTTTTTAGCGAGGATTGGGTCGATTTAACATAAATATGCCACATAGATTTACCGTGCATAGTTATAAGCGGCCAACATTTTGTGACCATTGTGGGTCGATGCTGTATGGATTAATTAATCAAGGTCTTCAATGTTCGGTGTGCAGGCTCAACGTTCATAAGAGGTGGCATAGTTTTCGCCTTTTTTTCAAAATTTTTTCAATATTTGTTGCAGAAAATCTATAATATCATACTTGGCCTATTTCGATTTTATCGAATTTCCTTTTCGTATTACTTGAGGTTGCCAAGATCACTTTTAAAAAATTTATGGAAATTTCACTATTTTTAATTTTTTTAATCATATATTTAAAAGGTGCCAACGAAATGTGGCGAATAACTGTGGCATTAATGCTAAACAAATGGCTCTCGAATTAGCTCAGTTAGGATTGACTGGTGATAAAATGTCAATTCGATCTAAGAAAAAGGTTTGTTCCGACAGAATATTCTAAAAACAAATTTCTTACGCTATTGAGAGTTCGTTTTATACGAGCCTCTCGTCATTTAAGAATTGGAATCTGGAGCTCATTATTATTGCGAGTCAGAGTTAGAATAGATCGATCAACACATGCACATTCTTTTGAGATCATTGTTTCTTGTGACAGTTGAATTTGTCCAGGGACCAATTTTTGAAATGATTTATGGTGCTAACTGAAAATATTTTATAGCCAGCAATTGTGCCCGACACAACAAGTGGAGCAATTTCATCTCCGGGAGACTCATCATCACTATCAACATTCTCAAATTCTAGGGTTGATGTTGGTGAGTATTTTTTTAAAAATGGTACTTAATGGCTATAAAAGTACCAAGAAGGATTTTCACTTTTAAATTCTGTACAGCTTTTATTATTTTGACATAGTTGGTATATAGAATGGCTCAGTGGGTAGTTGCCCAATTCGGGGCGCCGATACTAAGCTAAGTTTCTGCAGGAGAGAACCTATCCACAAATCTGGGTAATGCTGGTAACTCACCTGTACTTCTATCGCCAAGAGACTCCTTGGCATATTTGTCATAAGCCAGCGGAGCAATTGTTTAATTAGTAATGATAAAGGCCCTAAAAGAAATGATAATACCCTTGGCAATATTTAAGATATTGGATACATTGATTTTTTTAATTTAAGATTATAGAACGATCAAATTCAAATTATTTCAGAACGATCAAATTCAAATTTCTTGCCATCACTTCGGGAAAATGACGAAGTAATTGAGAAAGATGAAGCTGCTGGTTCGTCTCTTGCAATGCCATCAACCAAGCCAACTACAATTGGTCTTGAGGATTTCAACTTTATCAAAGTACTTGGAAAGGGATCTTTCGGCAAGGTCTCATTCATTATTGCTATCAAATTATGCTGATGGTGTAGCCAGAGCATTTCATTCATCCGACCCTAATAACATATAGTGGTACATATTTTTGAATGAATTTAAAAAGGGCTAAACTATTGGCGAAGAGCTTTTCGTTCAACAACGACGATTATTCAATGAAGATTCCTTCAATATTTGTTGACAGTAATTAGAAGGCAGTAAAACGTTTAAATATTTAAACGTTTAAAACGTTTAAATATGAAGAATAATAGTTCACTTATGATCTCTGTCATACTATAACAAATTTTTTCGCGATTCGATTTAATTTCATCGTTTTAAAGTTTAAAAGGCTTTACGTATTAGGATAAAATTAGGCTTTTTTGTAGGTAATGCTTGCTGAACGCAAAGGAACTGATGAAGTATATGCGGTTAAAATTTTAAAAAAGGATGTAATTTTGCAAGATGATGATGTCGAATGTACAATGTGTGAGAAGAGAATCCTTGCGCTCGCCGCAAAGCATCCTTTTCTGACTGCTATCCATTCTTGCTTCCAGACTAGTGTTTGCTTTCTGTTTTGTTCTTTAAGTGCTTTTAGAGTAGATTATCTGACATTATCTCCAACAGAATAAAAGAAATATACTGATATTCATATCTAAATTGACCAGTAGTAATTGACTTAGCAGAAATTGCAGGATCGCCTCTTTTTTATAATGGAATATGTTAACGGCGGTGATTTAATGTTCCAAATCCAGCGTGCACGCAAGTTCGATGAACCTAGAGCTCGTTTTTATGCGGCAGAAGTTACTTGTGCTCTACAGTTTTTGCATAGAAATGGAGTGATCTATAGGTACAAATCTATATCCCTGCTTTTTTTGGTCCATTTTATCATTTTTTTTTGCAAACTTAGTTTAGTGAATACTTCACCATCAACCATGGCATTCAGTAAATTTTTTTATTTTAAGGGATCTTAAACTTGATAATATTTTGCTTGATGCTGAAGGGCATTGTCGGCTAGCTGATTTTGGTATGTGCAAAGAAGGTATCACTAAAGATAATCTCACTTCCACTTTTTGTGGAACTCCCGATTATATCGCTCCAGAGGTGAGTTCTTATTTTTCATATTTATACCGTTTTTCTCATTGCCTCATATCTTATTTTTAGAACTATTTAAATTGCTTAATAGACCTCAACAGAGCCAACTGGCTATATGATAGGTAAATTACCCTTTCTTTTCAAAAGTATAGCGTTCTTCATATTAATTCTCAAGGTTTCGATTTTCCTAATATTTTTATAAATGGTAATATAATCAATAGAATCTCACACATTTTCGATCTTGGAATAATCATGGATGAAAATCATGGTAAAAAAATCTTCAAAGATACTAAATTTTACTTTTCGTTCGTTTAAGAACAAAAATGACCACTTCGTTCGGCCACTTCTTGACTACATGTTATTCTCCGAAATATCGTAAATCAAGTAAAATAATTGAAGGTCTCCGAACATATTTTATATGACGCCTCTCTCCTAACAGCAATTTTAATTATAAAAGAAAATTTCTACCTGGATTCTCTCCCAGTTCGTCGTATTAAACAAGATTGAATTTATACTTATAAGATTCTGTATGGTTATGCTAAACTAGAAGATTGTTCAAAGTACTATAATTTTAGGCTAAATTTGAATCCAACAAGAACTAATGGGCTAAAATTACTAAAACCTATTTGTAAAACTAAACTAAGGATTCATTATTTCTTTATTCGTACTGATAATAAATTACCGAACGATATAGCTTATACGTCATCCTTAAAATCTTTAGCAATCTTTAAAAAAGATTAGATAATATCATTTATGATATCATTTAAAAAGTTCACACCATGCAGGAAGTATGAAATCTCGACTTTTACCATCCAATTATATATAAAAGAGTTACTTCGAATTGTACTATATTATATTATTTTGCAATTTCCTCTTTATTTCCTCTTTAAGCCGTTAATTTTTGTCATATTTTCTATTTTTCTCATTAATTTTATCTAAATTTTATCATTTTTTTTTTTTTAAACTGTTATTATTAATACAAACACATGGCATAGTCGTCCTGTTTGTGACGGAAAGAAATAAATAACTCGATAAATGAAAGCTTGCGCTTAATTTAAAATAATTAGAGACAACTGACCTCAAGCCGTTCATATATTTTGAAATTGTACTTGATTCAGCATCGATATGAAATTCGTATTTTAACTAGATATACATGCTTCTGATGTTTTTTCATCATATTTTTATTAACTTTTCTCATTTAAAGATTCTACAAGAGATGGCATATGGAACATCAGTTGACTGGTGGGCTCTCGGAGTATTAATGTATGAGATGATGGCTGGACAACCACCATTTGAGGCTGATAATGAGGACGATTTATTCGAAGCCATACTTCACGATGATGTGCTTTATCCAATTTGGTTATCGAAAGAAGCAATTAGCATTCTAAAAGCAGTTAATTTTCTCTCTAGCCTTTTTTAGCAATGCTGTTTCTTTTTTGGTATAGTACTTAATGTTTCTTTCTTTTTAAAAGGGATTTGTCTTTTTATTTATACTCGATTAGCTTGGAAACATATATCATATATCATATATCATTCTGAACAATAATGAATATAAGATACTACTTCCCTACTACTATTAAACTTTCCTCAAACCTCTGGTAGAGGAAGAAGCTGAAGAATTGAAGAAAACTCATATCACCCACAGGGAATCAGAACGAAATTTATAATTTATATAATTTATAATTTTTTGCATGTCTACATACGTATATGTACATTAATTTCTAGCTGATGACCAAGAATGTACTGAAACGACTTGGATGCGTGCAGTCTCAAGGAGGCGAAGATGCAATCAGAGCTCATCCATTTTTTCGCGATATTGACTGGGAAGCACTTGAAGCGAGAAAAGTTAAACCGCCTTTCAAACCCAAAATTGTGCGCATTTTTCATAATATTGGATGGCATTTTCTTTTGCATTGCAGCATGTTTCTGCTTACATTAGCGTAAAAATATTTGTACGACTTTTCTTTCAATATAATTCGCTTTTCTGCACAAAAGAGCCACATTTCTTGTGTGACTGTTGAGCAGAAATTTTTTTAAAATTAGTTTAATTTAGTAAAATTTAAATTGTAATTTGCAATACATTTTCGACAAAAGTGTCAATTTCTTCTAAACAAATACTTTTTAGAAATCGAAGCGTGATGTTAACAATTTTGATGCTGATTTTACGAAGGAAGAACCAGTTTTAACTCCAACAGAAGCAGTGGTTATAAAAACAATTAATCAAGAGGAATTTAAAGATTTCTCTTTCATAAATCCCGACTTCACATTATGCTAACTTATTCTGCAACGCAACGTAAGTTAAAATTTAATCAGATTATAGAAATTGTCTACTTGCGGTCTCTTTTCTTTTTTTTTCTTCTAACCGCACTCATTTCTAGTTTGGCTTGTTCCATTGGCTATTAGGGCTCATTCGCTATAAAACCATACAAGGGTTGAAATGCTTGTGAATTTCCAGCAATACCTAGGAGCCTCTCTTTTATTTTCTCCAAATGACCAAAGAAATATTAACATAAATCAAAGGTTGACAAAAATAACGTCGACATTATTAGGTAATGCTACTATAGCCTTTCCGATAAGAACATCATTTTCTCTTCAGAGTCCTTTGCTTGATAAAATATCGCCAATGTCTCTACATATGCATAATGAATAGTATTTTTATTTTTCAACTTTGCTTGGTTTTTCCATCAGTTTTCCCTTTCCAAATGAATGAATAATGAATAATCTTTGTATTACGGTTTTTTCAATAAAATCTATCAGTCTTAACATACGTAAAAAATCAACAGATAATCCCTTTGAATATTAATAATTCTAATCAGAGATTTTGAAATTTTACGATTCTCACAGGAGTAAAAATTTCATCTTTAGTTATTGATGAAATCTGAAACGATAAAGGGTGGTTTATATGGTAAAATGTGCTACTAACGATCAGTTGTTGAAGAGATTCATTAAAGGCACAGTTGTAATCTGTGTCCAACATATTAATTGTATGTCAACTATCGCAGTTCCTTTTAATTCTTTCTCTTCTTTTCTGAAAATATCTTAAAATATCTTATCTTAACTCAAATATCTTTAAAATTTCTGTGTTTTTAGGAAAATATTTTTGGTAAATAAAAATTCACTTTTGAAAAGTCCTTTTCTTTCTTCAGAAATTTTTCATTCATCTAATCTTTTCTTCATAAAAAATTATTTATAAACAATAATTTATAATTATGGTAGTTAATTCACATAAGAATAATTTTTGTGTAAAATAAATGAATGAATTGTAGTGGAAATGGCTGAAATAAATCAGCAATTTATTATTCTTGTTCACTTTGAATTTTTATATAATTTTCATGGTTTCTTTAACCAGTTTGGTGGTTTGTTTATTTTTCTATTCATGCATAATCGAAATTTCTTCAAGTTCAGACTATAGAACAACATTGTTAACGCTTTGTTTTCATGCCAATATTGCTCTAATAATTTCATTTTTCTACTTAGAAAAAACTTAGTGCTACAAATGTAGAATAATTCAAATATCGTTCTCTAGGTGCGCTATATTAAAATCTATTTCATTTTGAATGCAAGTTATATTATTCCCAATGTTCAATTTTTTTGCGATTGCTAGCAAAAGTTTAAGCTCTAATGAAAGCCATTTTATAGATCCTTCGCATAATACAACAATTTTTCATCTTCATTTAAACCTATTTTACTAATTAAAGTAAGAAGGAAAATCAGAAAGCAATTAAGTTCAAATTTAGCGCATTTTAATTTTAACCGAGAAGCTTAAAGATTTGCTTCCAAAAACCCCTTTCGTTTCGATGGTAATTGTCGCATTTTCGCATTTCAGGTTGATACTTAATATTAAATATTTGTAAAATTTTATCAGAGCAAAGTGCTTGATTTCTACAATTGTGAAGTGGTGATAAAAGTTTAAAAGACACGTTTTTTTAGTGGCTTTTTTAAATTATTGAATTGGTTCTTTTTGTTTTAGGCCAGTCTTACTTTGCATTATCAGTGTGGAAAAACGAACCAGCCAGTATGTTATGATAGGAATAATAAACATTCAGGCGAATATAAAAAGCTGTAAAATATGGCTTTGAATGATAGATTTTTATGGATGGGAGCTGAGATGGATTAAACGTCATGTTTCGAGAACGTTGTATATAGTTTTCTTTTCTATTAGTCTTCGTGTCATTTCAGGCTGTTTGAAGGGTCAAAGGTGAAAAATGTTGTTCATTTGATATATGCTATGTATTATGATGAATTTTTATTTTAACATTTTTTAGAACACTTTTTACTACGAGTATAGATAGTAAATATATTGTAGTGAACAAACAGCTTTAAAGCAGGCAGGTTCCTTTTTATGAGCTGGATCAGTGATTCTTAAAGCAGAAGAAAATAGTTATTTAGAGGTTATTTCTTGTGATGAAGATATGTGCGCCTTAAAATATTCTTGATTAATAGTGTTTTCTGCATTAAATAAAATGTGGCAGTATTCCTTTCTAAATAAAATTAAATAGAATTTACCTTAAGTGGTATGGTATAGTCCGCTTAGGAGGAAATTAAATTATCCTAATACTGAGTGGCCAATTTCTACTTAATAATTCATCGCCATCATTTTTAAACAGTAACTATTAATTGCCACTTGTCATTTGGTTACATACTGAGTGATCACGCGTATTTTATCGCAGCATCTTTGTCTATTCCTTGCTTTCTCTTCTTTCTGTTGCATTAAAAATAATCGGTTTATTTTTTGCATATCTTTCGATTATACTATCGCATGTAACATTACTGCATCAGGAATTTGCACGATTTATATTCTTCAAATCTTGTATTTCTCCTAATAGATTCAAAAAATAAGAAAATAGACGTGCTTCTTTTCCTTATCTATTGAAAATGATTGTATCAAACATAAAATCGGTCGTTTAAGACCAAATTTAGGTTATATATATATATATATATATATATATTTATTTATTTATTTTATTTTTCTGAGATAATTTCAATATTCATCTCTTGTCATGGTTAAAAGTTCTACTGCCTTGTTTTTTTGAGATTCTGGTGAGATTTATGCTGTGGAGAAATACTCGTTTCTAATACAAGTATTGTGCGACTCACTGTGCTTAAAATTCATTGTTCGTTTTAAAAGTTTTTATTAAGCTGATTGATCTCCTTGTTTGCTCCTTCCTTGGGGCTTAGGATTTATTTTTTGTCATCTTATTAAAAGCTTTCATTTATATATAAAGTCTTACTTGTAATTAGAAATTTGCGATATTTGACGTAATAAAATGTTTTAAAATAATCATTTGGTCAGTTGCACTGCTGGGGGATCTCATAACAAAAATGTAACGCCAATAAAATGGATGATATGTTTCCGCCATTTATTGCATTCTTTAAAAATAGCATTTTAAGAAGACGATTTTTCGCTATACTTACTGTTTAAAAGAATAAAATTTTTCTTTACCTTGAAGCAACAAAAAGATTAGCATAGAAAGATTTTAGCATAGAAAAAAATTTTTCTTTTAATAAGGTTTAGGAGTGATCTGCCTATTTTTTGTTCTAGAAGCCTCCTATTTCTGGTTTGGTTAGGTCCATTGACTTATAGTGGAAACCTTGTCAGAAAGTTGTGAGCCTAAAGAGCAAAAAAGTACAGGTATATTCCCGGTGCAAGTTTTGCTGTTCTTGATAGAGAAGGATCTTGATATTTAAAACGAATATTTTGACTATCTCGTCCATAGTATATATCAAATAAAGAATCACAAAGAAGCGATGATAATAGAATGTTAATTAAACGATTTTAATTTGTATCAATTAATTTGAGATTAGATTTTGGTCACCTGATCGATTTCATATTTGTAAAAAAATTTTCTTGATTAGTAGAAAAAAATGAAGAACTTTTTGTCCGCGAAATCCTCATGGAGTATTTTTACATGTGTCCTCCATCAATTTTATTTAATAATAATACAATAAATAATAATACAATTTTTTTTAGCTTCTTGTGTGCTACGTATAAATCAGATATAGGTTGAAAGAGGTTGAACTAGTACATACGGTCAACACATCCAACATAGTTATTCTCAATATTTATTTATGCTTGAAAACTTGAACAAAACTTAAACTAAAAACATAAACTAATCCGATCTTATCGCTTAAAAGATCATGTTTTTGAGGTTCACTTCAAAATTGATTGATTCGTAATCCTTTCAAAGTTACTTCGCTCCATCTTTGCTAGAAACTGATTTCTGCTTTTTTGGACAATTTGATAAAAATTTATTACCAGTCAAGCAACTGAATATAATTTCAATTTATTAGAAAAATTTGTTAAAATTTATAATCTCATAAATTCATAGAGCTTTTTATAGCATAAAGGCTATTTCTAATAAGGCTATTTGTTATTTTTGTTCTCATATATTATATGAAAGTTTAATTCCTTATGAAGATTGAAGATTGACGGTTAGAATTTTCTTGCTATTTGCTCAATATATGGGATTCTTCTCTCATATCTTGATAATAATCACTAAAACACGAATTTTCCCACTATTTTTGACCTTATCTCCTTTTAAGGAGTTACATTTATATACCTTTAGTAGCATATAAATATTTATATGGAACGAAATGGTGCTTCCCTATCGTTTAATTCTCAAAGAATCGAGGTTTTCGTCCTAGCCGTTTCAATCCAATTTTTTTTCAGAATTCCGCTTTCCACTGATTTCTTTCCATTCATCCATTCTTGCAGTTATGGAATCAAATTATCCCCTGAATTTCAAAAATATTTCCTCCTCTCCAATTAATTTTTATGGCAGGTATTGGCGAAAAAAACCTGTTTTTTATGTTTTTGCAAAAAGTACGATTTATAAATAATTATGCGCATATTTATCGATATTCACTTTATTTGTAACTATTATGATTTTACTGCGCATTTTTGTTTGCTTATATATATATATTTTCTATATTTGCAATAATCGCTTGTCAGAATGAAAACGAAACTTTATTGAATAATTCAACGACAAAAAGTCCCACCAAGTACTACTAACTACTCATCAGGTAACTATTATTTATTGTATCTCCATTCATTTTATTTTCATAAAAAAACTGAATTCCATACTTGTCATTTTTATTATACAATTAAGAACTATAGTTGAAACAATAGTGGCTTGGGCTGTTGTGTTGGGAAGCAAGAGTTCGGACTCTGCTTGTAGAGAAAATAAAAGCTTATTGTTAGAAAATCGAGCAATGTTGGCGACCTATCGTTACTCTTAGCTATGACTATGACCAGCGAAAATTTCGAACTAATAAAAACCAGTGGAGAGCCCTATTGGACATTGTAAGTGCTTACCATTTTTAATTCCCTAACGAAAAGCCTCTTCCTAATGGCCAGTGAATAACGAGAATTAGTAAGTGCTAACCGTTAGCTCGCTAGTTAATAATTGTTGTAGAAAAGAAAAAGTGCTTCGTATTTGGTGTACTGTTTGTGAAGAGATAATGAAAATATTTAACGATAGGTAAGATGTTTAAATCACGGATTCAAAAACAATTTTAAAATGCTTGAAAATCCGTGAAAACAAATTTATTTTAATTCGGAAAAATGCAAAAGTGATAATTCCCTTTCAAGAAATTAAAAATTCTAAATTTGTTATCCTATCATTATACTTTAATAATTATTTCATTTAAATTTGTAACTGATCGCCAATATTTTTTTGAATTTCCTCCTGATGATATATGTGATGATACATATGAGTGATATTAAATTATTTTAAAAAATTAGATTTTAAAATGAATTAAAGTTTCTTCGTCTTTACAAATAGCTTTGCCCAAAATTTTGTCTAAAATAATTTATGTCAATCGACAATTTCAGAAAATTACATCGTCAATATTAATAAACAATAAAATCAACTATGGAATGGAAGTATAAGCAAGATCGAATTCAGAATTCGTAGACGAGTTGAATTAAACGCAGACGGTTCAATATGGATTCGTCCAGCCTTAGATAAGAATGAGCGAAGGCTTTGGATCGTATCAGAAATGAACGATGGCATGCAATTAAGCTTGACAAAACTAGCTAGTGGTAATGACCAAAATGGTGCAAATAGGAGTCACGATTTCGGTGTTTTCAGTCACCACTAAACATAACTAGTTCATCATTTTGTGAATTTACATTTTTTCTGCAATAGCCAAATTTCATATCACGATACTTTAAATTTTTCGAGATTTTCGAAGTTGAAATAATGTTTAAAAAAATGATAAACTTACCATAGTTGACACTGTTTTAGGAAAAAATTACGCCACTCTCATGGTTTTAAAAAATTGTGGACTGAATTTTGTACCAACATCAGCGGAATTTGCTGAGAAAAAAGGCTTACAAAAACTGGAAATTATTGGAATAATTGTGGTCACCTTATTAATCAATTTTTTAATATCATAGAAACAGCATTAAAATAAACCGAAGAAATTAGCTTACTAAGAAGCCTTTTCGAAAGTGAATGAATTTTTGAAAAGCAAATTGCTTTAAGCGCCACTTTTATGTCGTCACCAGGCTGCATGTTTCAATAACATTCTCTCTGACATGTCGTCTGTTAAATTAGGTTTTCCTTAACGTAGTTGTATTGCGCCACTGCTTTTTTATTAGATATCACTAAAGCGGTATTAAATTCTACCATTTATTTTTATGTTTATGATCGTAAAATTTATTATTCTTATGGTAGATAGTATAACCTGTCTCCACTACAAGATGACCTCACTAGAATTGCCAACTGGCTAAATGACAAGCAAATTACCCTTTCTTTTCGAAAGTATAGCTTTTTACATATAAATTTAGAAAAATTTGATCAACCAAATCTTTTTACTAATGGCAATATGAGTCTCGCATATTTCAGATCTTAGCATATTCATGGCTAAATCTTGACTTCAATCTTCATAGTAAAGAAATTCTCAAGGATATTAAATTATATTTTTCAATCGTTTAAGAAAAAAAATGATTTTCTTATCAAAATGTACAAAGCATTCGGCCTCTTCTTAAACACAGTATTTACCGAGATACCGCAAATCAATAAAATAACTGAAGGACTATAGAAGTATTTTATAGGTCACCTCTTCCTAATAGTAATTTTAATTATACAGCCTGGATCTCCTCTCAATCCATCGAATTAAACAAGATTTAATTTATACTTATAAGATTCTGTATGGTTATATTAAAATAGATTGTTCCAAATATTACAATTTTTCAAAAATATTACAATTTTGGTAAATTTGAACCCAACAAGATCTATGGAACCGTTATGTTTCATCACCATCCAGGATCAATTGTTCTATCAATTGAATCAAAGGCAGGAGCAAAGTCGATGAAACACTGTGGGTTGCAAATATTTGAAACAATATTCCAGCACTCTTCTTAATGTGAATATCTGGTCAACACAACCACGCCTGGGTCTGAATCCAGCTTGATTAGGGCCCTGTCCCGTACTTCCATAAGTCTGTTGAGCAAAAAGGGGGCAAAAATTTTCGCTGAGACGTCTAATAAAAATAACCCATTCGATCAAAATTAACTATAATAGTAATTCAACTGTGCAGCGCTGATTTGCCAGAAATTAGCTGATATTTCTCTACTATGAGCATTTTTAAACACAACTCAAGTCGGATTCTGAAATAGCCTATGCCATTCCCTGTTTATTCATCACCGTTAATAAAAACAATCGAATCAACGTGTGATTCTACACCGATCTTTAAGCCGAAAAATTAAAATATCAATAATTTGAAAAGACACGTACAGATCAAATGAGCAACGGTATTTCAACAATATACATTAGCATATGATAAACTAGTGAAATATTAGGAATAATCTAATGAAAAACAGATTAGGATTACGACTTCTTGCGAGTGCAAAGAAGAAACATATCATGCACATTGTAATAAATCGTTTGTTGTTGATCATCAATTAATAAGCCACATTCACGTAATGTTTCGATCATTTCTTCTTCTGTTAAATAAAGGCAGGAGAATTTTCGATTACCATATGAACACCATGTTTCTCGAAGAATTCCACCCATTACAAATATTCCTGAATCAATATTTTTCTTAATTTACAAAAATTACGACCAGTATATCAATATTCTTGCCTTTATAAAAAAAAAAAACAAAGAATATAATAAAAAAATAAAGAATATAAACTTGCTACTAAAAATAAAATAAGGTGCCAGTTAGCTTCTGGGCAAAATCAAAAAAAGAGTCTATGGTGGTTCATATTTCAAGTTATAATTTTCCATTATATTTTCCTGTTTTCACATTTGCTATCGACTAAACGAAAAATGTTCGAAAATGCGTGGTGGACCATATATATTCCAAAACAAAAAAGATATGTATATGTACGTGTATGTTTGCCGGGCGCTTAAAATAATGGACAACATCGTTAATTTAAAAATAGAATGACACGAAAATGGATAAATGGCGTTATTTAATTTTTTAAAAGCTAAATTATAGCTTAGTTGTAAGCTTTTAAATATTTTAGCGATTATCACTTCGAAAGCATGGAAGAAATACATATTATAAAATGATAAAGAAAAATAGAGAATGCGATGGCTTTATCAGAAACGCGATAGCTCCATCCATGTAAATGAAAATTAAAAGTTAAAAGCATCATTTCACGCTTGAAATAAGAAAATAAAGACTAACCTCCAGGTTTAACTTGATCTATGATATTTTTGGCCGCTTGTTTATACTCAGCGATGGTATTACAACAGTATTCAATGCAAAAAATAGTAACAACTGCCTTAAACCATAATAATAAAATGAATATTCAAAAATTTACTAACTTATAACTGAATTATGGCCATGAAAAAATAAACTGCTGCAATTGTTGCAGCTCATCATTTTACCAATCCTTTCCGAGAATTTTGAGAATTAAAAATGTTTCTGATAAAGCTGACCAGGAAAATTCTTATGCATCTTATGGCATGTGCAACATCTATGAACTATAGATAAATAGATATATATTTCATTGAACGCTAGTTGCAAATATATGAAAAAATCTTTAATAAAACCATACATCGAAATTGCCCATCAATGATGGTGGAGCATTTACACTAGGATTTCTGTGACAATCGCAAAAAAATATATCTCTAACCTAAAATAAAAAAATAATATAACTATTAGGTACAAATGCATGTTATTAAAGAAATGATTTGCAACTGCAGAACTTTTAAAAGTTAAAATCCAGTTTTTTTCATCGAGTTTTTTTTTAAAGAGTCCTCACCATTACTGGTTAAACTCGCTCTGCTGGCATGTCCCACTAAATAAATATGCTAGGGAAGTCCCTTGGCGATAGAAGTACAGGTGAGTCGCCAGCATCACCCGGATTTTTGAAAAGGTTTACTCCTGCGGGAAATAGAATCTCAGCACCGCCCCTCAGATTTGAGTAACAACTCACTGAGTCATTCTATCCTCTTTTTTCATTGAGTTAGGCCAGACCCATCCCTAAATTTTTACTCCAAAAGAATTTGCTCAAATTTTGAGAGTTAATTTATAAATTCAGTTCATTAGTTCCCAATCATCAGAAATTTGAAGATTTAAGATCTTTTTGTTAAAGCATTTTAAAAGATAATTTAAAAAATCAAGAAATGAGAATATTTAAATCATATTTAAACTTCTGGGTAATACCACTGAAGCATGATGATGTTCATCATTACGTAGATACATATTACCAGGCTGTAACAAAATTGACCCTTTTACGTGTGTCGTTTTCAATTTGTGGCAACTGACTCCAATCCAATCCTTCAACTGTTGCAATTTTCTTAATAGTTAATGACCAATCGAATTCACTGCAGTTATTCATCCATTTCACAAGTTCCTGTCGATTTTGTGCCAAGTAATCAGCTAAGAAGATCTGAAATGATCTGAAGATCTGAATTTGTTAAAGCAAATACTGGAATAAAAATGGCCATGTGACTTTCAAAATGGATTAATCATAATTCCTTAATGATTTAGAACATAATTAAATAAGTAAAGTGAGTTCATCAAATCTGAAAGTACGTTTCAAAGTTAGATAAAATTTAAAGATCCCTTAGATACAATAGTCCAGTTCTTAGAGAAATTAGAAAATTTTCAGGCAGGCTGTATGTTAATAGAAAGTCTAGTAAATTGCTTTGATAAATGCTAACAAAGCTTGAGCTAACAAACTTATTTTCTGATAAATTGCTTCCACTTACTCTGATAAAATCATAAGCAAGTAATTAATTGTTCTTTGTTCATACCTTTCATTATTTGGAATTATGGCTATATTCTAGCTTTATTCAAATTCAAAATTTACAAGTTTTTCAATGAATTATTTGTTGGATAAATCGTTCCAAACAAATATTTTCCATACATTATCCGCTTTTTTGCGAAAGATAACAGCGACATGGATCGTTGGACCAGCTCCAAAATCCAACAAGTTGTTAAAATTGCTCAAGCGTTCGGCAATAATCGGTAAATATAACAAAACCAATTGCATCGCTGGGTCCTCAATACGTTCATAAAAATCCTAAAAAATAAGGGTCAGAAATTTGGTGAAAAAAAAAGTTCACAATGGTTTGGTATCAAGGAAAAATTTTAAAAATATTACATGAAGATATGCCATCGAATTAAATAACTCTTCTAGATGATCATGGCCATAAATTATTTCGTTGCTATTTTCTGTCAGTTTCTCTTCGTTTTCCATATCAAATTTAAAATCGACTAAAAAAATTGCGTGAAATTTCGGTAAGGAACCATGCTTTCGAGTCGAAGTAAAAATCGTTGACAATAATAAAAGATACGATGAAAAGAATACCAAATAAGCGAATGGTAATAGTCATAAGAGGAAAATAATTATCTTTAAAATTTTAAAAATATAAAATATATACAGTAAAATTTAAAAGATTTACACAAAAGATGTCTTTTCTATGGGGAAAAATAAGAAATTAGGCTACTTTTTCATTCTGCGGTGTCAGTTAATCTATCGTTCCAATATTTCAAACTAATATTTACTATAAAGAAATGACACCAAGTATACTTCCGTGGAGTAAAGCTTTTAATTCACAGCATAGCTCATATTCAGGAATAATTCGCACCTACAAAAAACTTATGAACAAAGGATTCATATACTCAAAGAAATGCTTTTGAAATGGATGGAAGGGAAGAGATATAGTGATAAAGTGGTAAAAAGATGCTGGCGCCTGAGTCATTGTAATTATACCTTAGATCCGAGAGAAAATATCTCGAAATTGTAGGAAACAGAAAAGTACGAACGGCAAAGATTTGAAGAATGGTTAGGAACACCAACAGGAACACCTAACATATGTCGAAGCTTTAAGCTTTTGCGCTTAACAAATCTTGCAAATGTTTTCTTATCGATGAGGCGAACTTTTCTTGTCTTCTCAGTGACAAGTATGAAATGTTTACATCTTTCTGGATAATACAAATATACCTCTACTTCATCTACTTTTTTTTCAACTGGTTTTAAACATATATTTCGCATTAATCTCAAAAATGAGATCACCCTACTTCTTATAAACAATTTATTGTTCAAAGAAAAGTTGGTTTTTACTAATCAAATGGAGGTTAATAACATAAAAAGTTTATTTTCCAGTGGTACTGTCCACTAAACTCATAATAATATGTAGTTTTTCGGCCAAAAATTTATGTGATTTTATGCCGTTTCGCGTTTATTTAAACAGAGATAAAGCAGAGCCTATAGCCATGCTTTAGATTATACCATCTTCTTCTAACAGCTCTCACCATTATTGGTTAGGTTGGCTCCACTGGCTCTATAGGCAAGACACTTACAAGTTGTTCTGCCATCTTTTTCCACCACCTAAGTCCATATATCACTAGTCTCCCTATTCGTTCAAAATCTTTGCTGATTGTGTCAGTTCGGGCTTAGGGTCTAGTAAATAACGAAATATCTCTCAACTCCTGTAGTGGGCGACGCTCTGTAATGACATTATTAAAACAGATGGTTTGAACGAAGGTGAATGCGATTTAATCCACTCGGCTAACTTGTAAAATGTACCTTAGACATGAATGGTCAAAGGCTATTATCTTCTTAATATCCTCCACTCTCATTGGTCATTTCTCAGAACCATATAGCAAGATCGAATGGATCACGGCTATATAGATGCGGATTTTCGTTTTTATGGTGATTTCCATAAAGCTTTCGTCAAGCGAAAGAATGAATTTTCCGTTATCTGGGTCGTCTTTTTCCTGGTCATTCACTATTAGAGTGGATCCTAGGTATTTAAAATCGCACACTTCCTCAATCGGAAGTGAGTTTAATAAAAAAAGCATTTTATCAGTTTCTTGTATATAAGACGAAAAGGCTTTATTTTAGAAGATTTCATTTGTTTTATTTATTCTGGCCCTGGCCAATTCTTGCTGACATTATTAGCATTATTAGCATTATTTGCATTTCGTCATAACTGTCAGCAAAAAGGTCTACATCATCAGTATATTCAAGATCTGCGATACAATGTTCTGGACTGATTTATACACATCTTGAGTGCCGACAAGCGGTGTCTATTATCCAGTCCATCGCATAATTGAATACTGTAGAGGAAAGGACACAACTTTTACGAACACCGTCTTATTATTCTACCACTTCCCCATATATCTGCTGATAAAATACCTTTAGATGATCTTCTCTGTAACACCATCACTTCCATCACTTTCCAAAGTGCCCTTCTATCAATTGAATCAAAGTTGACGAAACGATGGGTTGACGATGGGTTGCAAATATTTGAAGCGGTGTTCCACCACCCTTCTTAATATGAATATCTGGTTTGAATCTAGCTTGATTAGAGCGTGTCCTGCTGTCCCGTATTGTCATACGTATAAAAGAGATGCAAAAATCTTTGCTGAAACGCCTAGTAGACTGATTCCTCGATAATCGTCGCAGTATGTCCTATCATTTTCCTTGAGAATTGGGAGCAGAATTGGTTTATTCCAGTCATCTTGTGTGCCTATTAATGTTTCTTTTTCCCATACCAGAGAATACATTTGTTGTAAGTGAGAAGGGACAATGGAAAGTATTTGAAGAGTTCAGCCCGAAGACTATCTTTTCTCGGAGTATTATTGGCCTTATGGATAACGGAGATTATTTTTTCTTCTCTCAGGAGCTCACAACTGCAAGCGTATAGTTCGGCGAACGTATCAGCTATATCAGGGACAACAGATGGCACTTCATGGTTAAATCTGACCTCAAAGGATTTTTTCCATCTTATGAGGCGATCCTTTATACTCTTAATAGGCACACAATTGCTTTTACTTACCATTTCACTGATCGTTCCTCGAGTTATAATTGCTTTATGAAGAAGGCGGAATAGTTTTCTATTATCTGTTATTTTCTATTATCACGCTCGAGCCATCTCACTTCTCCATTCTCATTCTCCACGTCTCCATTCTCAAGGTCATGTCGCTCCAATAGCGATTTCTGTCCTGCCATGCTGCTGCCCTTGTAATTCATCGAATAGTTCAAAATTTCCTGATATTCGAGCTTTGGCCACGTTTTCAGACAGTTGGACGATACCCAACTAGTGCACTTCCTACTAGTATGCCCTAGCGTGGAAGTGGCTGACTTTCGGCGACATTCTTTTAGACAATAAATGGAAACAATGGAAATGCGTTTCTAAATAAAAAAGATCGTAAATAACACACAAAACCTGGAACAATTAATTTATTTGCTCTTTTAAAAAGTAGTTTTTTAAAAAAAAATAAATATTTTCGATTCTATAAAAAACAACCTCTTTATCCATTATCTTATAATTCACTATTTCGAATTTTAACAGGGGTCTCATTCACTCAATTTTCTGATTATTTAGTTTGAGCTGTTTAAATAATGCATGCAATTTCAGCACGAAACCTGTCAATATCATAGAATATTTGATGAAGCCCAAAAAATAGCTTTTTCTTCACAGTCTTTTTCGTGAGTTCACATTTAAATTGAAATAATTTTTAAAAAAACTGTATTATAACTGGCACTAATGTAATTCATTCAAATTTACCTGTCTGATCGTCTGAATAGATTCTTCATGACATATTACCTGCTTTCCTACCTTTTTACTAGAGTGGAAAGAAAATTTGAAAAAATTGTGGTACAACGAGAAGTCATAAAGGCTTTTTAAAGAGCTATTTTAATTTTAGCTGGGAAAAGTTATAATAAGTATATGGCATATTGAGACTTTTTATCACTAATTCACCTGTACTTATCTTAAGAAAAGTCTAAATTTAAACACTATCAGACAAAATAGAACTTTGCAAAAGTAATGAATTTCCGCAGTTAGCAAATTGTTACAGCAGGTTTGTAATTTTATGTAATGTAAGTGGTGGTTTGAGCCAACGTGATGCAGTAAAGTTAACACTGGGCTAAAAGAGTAAATTTCAAAGGAACGAGATGTTATTGCATTAGAAGACAGAAAATATTAAAAAATAATGATATTTATCTATCAAAATTGATTGGACGTATTTTTTATCAACGCTAAGCTTTTTCTATTGCAGAGGTCAATAAATGAGGGGTACTGGAAAAATCAATAAGTGAGAATAAGGAGGTCAGTAAATGGGTCGATGTTCTTAAAACATCCATATCTCATTTCATTTGTTAAATACTTCTTGTGGATATTTATTAGCGATGGAAGGTTAGAAAAACGTTGCATTTTTTGCTTATGTGAAGTGCCTTTTTTGCTTATGTGAAGAAATTGGGTTTTATCTTTAGAAAGTGCAAAAGTAGGGGTGAGCCGGGGATCGATCCCGGGACCTCTCGCACCCTAAGCGAGAATCATACCACTAGACCACTCACCCTTTCGATCAAAGTAGAATAATTTCTTCAATGCAAGTACTTGGTTCATAAAAAAATTTAAAAGTTCGGTGACGGTAAACTACAAAATCAGCAGTCAAAAGAGAAAAAGTGTTATCAAAGGATGTGTTTTGAACATTGTTCAAATGAAGGTGCCTTAATACTGTGAAAATGAGAAAGGGAATGGTATTATGTTAGGTGAAAAATTTTTCTTAATTTATATAACCTATATACGTCACATTTGTCACATGAGTACATATATGTACGCAAAAAAATTCTATGTCCTTCAAAACTAGCCATATTTTCTAAAAATCTAAAAATCAGAATCTATCATACTCCTGCCCAAACCCCCAACTTTAATTTCCCATTCTATCCTAACTTTTTCTTGAAACTTATTGTACCCATCCCCGCTACATTCCATCAAATTTGCCGTGATTTTTTCGCTGTACTCCATTAGTAATATTACCATAAATCTCCAAATTTTATCCTAACTCTTTGCAATATCATAGTCCCTTGGTAAGCTCCTCGAGACCGATTGTAATTCTCCACACTAACAAACCCTCCCAAGCCTCTTAAGCTCTCTACCAAACTCATATTTCTTTGCTAAAACCAGGTAATCACATCTTTCGCTTCGTTCAAGAGCGCAGAAAATTTCTGGTTAGCCTCGCTTCGCTGGCTTATCGAACCAGGTAAAATTTGCCAAGGAGATAACTGGCTGGATATACAGGTGGGCCGTATACACCAGGATTTGTGAGAAATAGATTTACTGAACGAGTAAAGTTCCACACAAAATGCATTTTTGGTGTTAGCCCAAGCTCTGCCCGCAGAGCTTTTATCTTCATTGCTATTCAACGATATCAGAAGCCCTCTCTTTCATACTCCTTGCCTTGTCAACCAATTCTTCAGTAATTGATCCTTGATTGAACAGTCCTTAATGTTGATAATACAGACTGCTGGTTCGAATCTCGTTTTCAGTTTTTGACGCCATTATGACATTCTACACTCAGAATCAGCTATCTGAAATGAGCAACTGCTTAATTGCCTACTGTGCCATTCTATTCCTCGTCATCGTTTCCAATTTAAAAAACTTTAAAAAAACTTTAAAAATAATGACAAATTTTCTTAGCTAATCATCAGACCAGAAAATTCGCAAAAACAATCTTAAATATTATACTCATAGATTGAACCACTCGTCCTTAAAGCAGTTAGACCACTCATTAATGGTAAATTAATAAATAACCCATTTAACACAAAAAATACAAAACGGACGGGCTGAGCCGGGGATCGAACCCGGAACCTCTCGCACCCAAAGCGAGAATCATACCACTAGACCACTCAGCCACACCACATTTGTGAAACCATTGTTTAATAGAAATATGTATTGAGCAAACGTGCTAAGACCTAATTGCCGGAATAATTATCCCTGAAACTCACAAAAGGAGTGTTAAAAGAGTGCTATCGGGCTGAGCCGGGGATCGATCCCGGGACCTCTCGCACCCGAAGCGAGAATCATACCACTAGACCACTCAGCCGATGCAGTGCATCTGCAAAATTTCAGATAATAATGCTCACATTGATCTTCTTGTTAAACGACCAAGATATCCCCAGAGATCACAGGACTGTGGCCTCCAAGTGATTCGGTTCCCGCTACCCAGCGGCTTAGCCTCTATCTCCATAATTATCTCCACACTTATGAATCCATAAATCAGTGCAATAGGCAGGCAACGGCTTAGAATTTTCTCAAATTGTTTTTCATTATATGTGCTATTCATATATTGCCATATTTTTCCTAATTTATAATCTTGAATCAGTGACTACGACCAGCCAAAGAAGCCATTTATTATTTTAATTAGTTTTTATGTGAAAAACATATTTTTTAAATAGAGATCAATTGTTTAATGCACTATAATTAATTTCCTAAAAGGAATTGACCTCAACTTTAAATTAATCTGTTTGGTAAGGGTGCCAAATCTACCGAAGAAATTATTTCTATGGTTTACTTATGATCTTTGCAGCCATTATTTTTGATTTTTTTTGTTTTTATTAAACTTGATTAAATTGTTATGAATTTTTTATTTTTTTTTATTTCTTAATTTATTTTATTCTTTATTTATTTATTAATTTATTTTTATGTCAAAATTTATGTTTTTTCTTTTGTATCGCTTAATTTTTTAATATTTTTTTTGATTTTCAACATTTTTATTTGTTATTTTCGGTTCCATGGTTTAATTATCCAAATTTGGGGATAAAAATTCGAAGATTTCAATTGAATTAGGCTACTTTATGACACGAAGACCCGGCTGCAGCAGCTACTTTTTCGGTGGGATTTGATTCCGAGAAAATACCAGATAACCATTGAGAAGGCTGCAGGCACATCAAATGCTTTCCATCTTTCATATTTTGCTCGCGTCTACCATAAATATTGAACTGTTTCAATATTTCGAAATATTTCGAAATGATTACATGCCATAAAAATCTGATAATTTTTTCGATAGTAAATGCAACAGTATATTGGATTGATTTAGAGCAAACTTTAGTTTATATACTCTGTTAATTTATTCAGCGCTGAATCGGCCATGTAAAGTTGTGGTTAGAAAATAAAAGAGGAAACAAAGTTAACATAAAAGAGTTATGGAAAGAAAGTACAAATGGATGCGTTCTTTATATCTATGATTAAGTACCACTAACTTTCTAATTTCTAAAAATGAAAAAAAATACAATTTTTTAATGTATAGCTATAATTCTGAAGGTAACATAATCGCATAATCGATCTATCATTGGCACAAAAAGGTTTGATGCATGGAATAAATCAAAGTTAAGATGCTTTTTAAAATTTCAATTTGGTCCGCTATTCTATTCTTTCATTTGGCGAATAGCTTGTTCAACATCATCAGAAGAAAAAATAGTTTTTACACAAGTTGGTTTCGGTTTCATTTCACACTTATGTGATGGTGGACAGGCCATTGCATCGCAGGCTAAAAAAACTAAATTTCTGAAATCCGCAGTACCTTCATAATTTTTTAAATAGGTACGTATCGTTCAAATGATTTTTAGATTCATGTTTTGTGCTTTATCTAGCAGCAATTTTGCAAGCATAACAATTGCGGATAACATAAAAAAAACATACTTCCAATTTTAGCACATTTCGCAATTGTTCGGCATGACCGGGCAATACATGGCACTATTCTTTCCACGCATACTTCACCTGATGGGCATGGCTCGTGATTTTTACACCCTTAAACAAGAACCACAGTGTAATACTGGAAAAATTGTTTTAAATATGAAAAGTTGTAAAAATTGGTTGCAATAATAGCAACACTATAATACAACTTCCAGATGGTGCCTAATTCATATTTTATTATCATTTTGATGGCGAGCAACATACCTTTAACTTCATCAGGAACACAGGAGATAATTGGAGCGCAAGGTGGATTGCGACATTTTACTATATAACGTTCAACGCAAAATGTGCCTTCCGGACAAAATTGGTCGGTGCATGCTAAAAATATAAATAGACTGGGACTCTATTTCAATATCAGGTGAAAAAAAGAGTGAACTTATTAAATTGTATAAAGTTTATGAATTAAAAATCAAAAAATAATAAAAAAAAATTTTTGTTCATTTTCTTGTTTTGCTAAATAGCATAGGAGATGTGGCAATGACTCGAAATATTTTATTCCCTCAATTTTTTCCATTTTTATGTAATTTGAAAGAGGTTTAGGAATGAGGTGCTCGAGTAGAATATATCGTTCATTCGATCTGAGTTTAGGATACATGTGTTTGATTCCTTTATGAGATCATTAAAAATAAAAATTAATTAATGTAACAGTAGAGTATATACGTATCTGTTAATGAGTGATATTATTGCATAATAGGCTCACTTGTGGTCAATGAAGTCAGCCAAAAAGTTAATAAATTTTGTTCATTCTCTTCTACTCAAGAAATTGTTTGATATCCAGCATTATAGTTTAATTTCCTTCCTTCAGCGTAACTGATTAAAATTAAAAATATTTCATAGAATTCAGAAGATCTTACCATCTTTTTCTCCACAGCCAATAGTTACGACTAGGAAACCAATCTGGAAATTCTTATCTGGAAGATGTCAATTGCATAGAATTCAAAATTTAATGTAGCCCTTGTCTTAGAAGGAAACTGTAAGAAAAGAGTCCACCTTTTCGAAAATTCCAAAAATCATTCTATTATTAGGCCTCCTAAACGCCATTTGATCTTAGGTTCTTAACTCGTTAGACCGGCATTTGCCATTGAACAAAGTTCTTGATCAGTATAAACTATACTTTGTTATACGGCAGAATAAATGAATAATGGCAGTATTTAGGAGTATTAACAATACTAGACTAGATAAGAAATAAAATCCCGAAAATTTTTATTCTATGAATTCTATGAAAAATTCTATGAATTTTTTTGCGAAATGACCAAATTTAGCCGGTAAATCGAAACAATTAATATAATTGTCTCTTAGAATATTCCAACAAATAGAATTAATAATGGAAATAAAGATAATAATGGAAATAAGAGTAATAGTCTAACAAGCAAAATATCTCGTTGGCGCATTATTTTGACCATAAATTCAAGCAGCGGCAATGCTACCTCTTCGTCTTGAAGGGTGTAAACCTTTAAGCAGTAGAAACCCCAGGTGTTCATGTGGACCTACCTATTGTCACCTCTAAATGATTCACTGGCACAACTAGAAGCCATCAGGAACAATTTAAAAATGCTGGAATGCTGGAAGAAAAAAACGAACCGCAATATGAAAGATAAACATTTTCATGCTTGTCGATAGGTCTTGTTATTCCAGTTATTATATAAGGCTGATCGTTGATAAGAAACGAGTTTTTTTGAAATATTGATTTCGAAAATAAAAAAGTGCTCGATCATTGAAAGATATCGCTGGAACAACATCGTTTAATGATAACTTTTCTTTAAGAGCACTTAAATTTTGCCAGTCAAATTTTGCGAAGGAGTCACTTAGGAATAGAAGTAGAGGGTGAGTCGTCAGCTTCATATGTATGTATGTGTATTTTTGGCCTATTTACTTCTACCATGAATAGAACTTCAGCTTCCGAAATTGAGCAGCATTGAACCATCGAGCCATTCTGTCCATGGCTAATCCAGTTTAAGTATTATCGTAAAAAAAAATATCGTGAATACATCGTAATATTTATATAGTAATTTATAAAAAATTAAAAAGCCACTGAAATTTTGTATTATTGTTTATAAATTTATTATTTTCAGAAATTTACTAAATTTTTAATAATATTTAAACACATGCTACGGATGGGCGGAATCGTTACATCTTCAAATTTATTTCGTGATATTTCCTGAAAAAAATATAATTCACATTCTTGCATGCTCCTTCGATACTCCCAGTTATCATCATATTCCTCATCTCCATTTTATAATAAGTAATTGCTACTGGAGTGAAAAGAACAGAGTGGCATCAAGGAAACAATGTGGCGACAGATGTTTTTAAGTCAGCATCCGCGCTTCGAACTGAGCAACAACTCATTGATCCATTGTACTCCTGGAAGTTATGCTGGATAATTCAAAATAAATTTTTGTTTTCGACTGAAAATATTATACACGTTGTTGAAAGAATTCTTTTTTCACTTTCTACTTTGCTGTTGCGAATAAGCGATTTAGCCTCTGAACAAAAGTACAATTATCAATTATTCACGGACATCAAACCTCCTAAATTGTTGAAAGCAAAAGTGCAAACATACAAAATGTGGCTTAGGCAATTATGAGACAGAAACATTTAAAGTCACAAATTAAATTATCAAATAGAATAATCAACACTTTATTTGAAATTAACACCTAAATTCTTATTATTTACCACATTCAATTATTTGAAAACCACCAAACAGAGCGGCAAGCGCCATGTGTTTTTATTAATAACAACAGATAAAACAGCAAATAATAAAAATTTATGATTAAAAAAATATAATAAAAATCAATAAAGTAAAGAAGAAATAAAGAGTTCCAAAATGAATGTATTATCTATATATAATCAAATAGTAAAAATCAAAGTTTCAAACAATGTGAACTTTTCAAATGATAAATGATATTGCTCAATCTATTTAAACTACATCTTCGGTAGTTTATTCCAGTAATTAATAGTACGAATAAAGAAGCAATGAGTCCTTAATTTAGTTTAGTTTTGCATATAGGTTTTAGTAGTTTTAGACCATCAGATCTTGTTGAGACCAAATTTAACCTAAAATTATAACATTTGGAACTATCTAATTTAACATAACCATATAAAATTTTATAAGTATGAATTAAATCTTGATTCTAATTCGACGGATTGAGAAGGAATCCAGATTTTATAGTTGTATAGTTATTATAGTCTGTAGTTATATGATTAAAATTTTTATAAGGAGAGAGGCGACTTATAAAATATTTCTGAAGTCCTTCAATTTATTTTACACAATTCTCAGGGAGTAGCAAGTAGTATTTCACTTAAGAAAAGGCCAAACGACTGTACATTTTGACAAGAAAACCTTCATTTTAATAAGAAAAATGATAAGAAAATTCTGTTCTTAAACATGCGAAAACAAAATTTATCAAAATTTAACAAAATTTAGTATCTCGAGGATTTCTTTACTATGGTTCTGTAGAGAAGATTAAAATCAAGATTTTCATCCATGATTATGCCAAGATCTGAAATATGATCTGATTAACTGATTATATTGCCATTGATAAAAAGATTAGAAAGATCGAATCCTTCCAAATTTATATGTAAAACGTTGTGCTTTTGAAAAGAAAGGGTGATTTGCCTGTTATGCAGCCAATTAGCAATTGGAATGAGATCATCCTTTAGTGGAGACAGGTTATCCGATCCTACCATGATTTTACAATTATCAGCCCAAAGATAAATGGTAGTGTCAAAAACCATTTTGGTGATATCATTAATATATAATTAAAAAAGCAATGACGCAATTCAACTATTTTGAGGAACGCCTGATTTATCAGGTGTCATGTCAGAAAGAATATTGTTGACACATACAGCCTGATGACGATCTTTTATGTAGTCTGATACTCAGATATACAGGTCCCTTGTAATGCCATAACTGTTATGAGTGATCAACAAAGTGCTATGGGAAGCAGTATCAAAAGCTTTGGCCAAATCTAGGTACACAACTGATACTGTTTGAAAAACTTCCATTGTAAGTTGAGGCTGACCAATGGAAAAGATTTGCCGGTATTTGTGAAGAAGTAGATTTTTTCTTGCAAAAACCATGCTGAGGTGGATATTAAATTATTGGCATCAAGATAAGTAAACAATTTGTTGCAAATCAACGTTTCCAGTACTTTGCCAACAACGCATGTTAGGCTAATAGGCCTGTAATTAGAAGGATCACATGTGCTTCCTTTTTTATGAGTGGGAATTATATGAGATAATTTCCAAATTCTGGAATTTGGGCCAAACTTCATAATATCCTTATAAATGAGAAATAACAAAGACTCAGGGAGACTTCACAATTTTTATTAATTATTTGTGGAAAATTATCAGGACCAGCTGAAATAGACGGTTTGAATATAAAATTTGACATTCACGTAATTCTCTAGTTTTTTTTGATAAGAAATTCTAAAAACTGATTGTAAATATTACGTACTGACAGTAATTTTCTGGTAACCAATTCTTTCTCAAATTCCATGTGAACACACAAACTACATCGTTCGGAAATTTTCCAGTAATTAATAGTACGAATAAAGAAGCAATGAGTCCTTAATTTAGTTTAGTTTTGCATATAGGTTTTAGTAGTTTTAGACCATCAGATCTTGTTGAGACCAAATTTAACCTAAAATTATAACATTTGGAACTATCTAATTTAACATAACCATATAAAATTTTATAAATATAAATTAAATCTTAATTCGACGGATTGAGAGGGATCTAGGTTGTGTAGTGGTAGTTGTATGATTAAAATTGTTATAAGGAGAGAGGCGACTTATAAAATATTTCTGAAGTCCAATTATTTTACTTGATTTACGATATCTCGGGGAGTAACAGGTAGTATTGTATTCAAGATGCCGAACGCACGCTTTGTACATTTTGATAAGAAAACCATTTTTTTTTTTTATTAAACGAAGGAAAAATAAAATTTAGTATCTTTGAGGATTTCTTTACTATGGTTCTGTAGAGAAGGTTGAAATCAAGATTTTCATCCACGATTATGCCAAGATCTGAAATATGCGAGACTCATTCATCTGATTATATTGCCATTAGTAAAAAGATTGGGAAGAAGAATCCTTTCGAATTTATATGTAAAACGTTATACTTTTAAAAAGAAAGGATAATTTGGCTGCTAATAGCCAATTAGCAATTCGAATGAGGTTATCTTGTAGTGGATACAGGTTATCTGATCTACCATGAGAATAATAAATTTTGCAATTATCATCATAAAGATAAATGGTAGAGTTTAAAAACACTTTGGTGATATCATTAATATGATTAAAAACAATGGCTTAATACAACTATTTTGAG